ACTGCGCCCCACCTGGCTGCGCCCCACCTGACTGCGCCCCAGCTGGCTGTCCCCCACCTGACTGCGCCCCACCTGGCTGCGCCCCACCTGACTGCACCTCACCTGGCTGCACCCCACCTGACTGTGTCCAATCTGGCTGCTGTCTTTGCTGCGGGGATAGCCTGGCCCTGCGGCCAAGTGAGCACAGCCTTTCCTTCCTGTCAGAGCCAGCCTTCCGGCCTTCCGTAGACAGGTCAGGGCTGCCGAGGGTCCGACGGCAGAGACTGGCTTAGCCTCTTCAGATGTGGGATGGTCCACAGACCTCGGCTGAGTGAGTCACGGACTCTTCTTCAAGGGGAGCCTGCTGGTTCTGGCTCTGCCAGCCCCTGAGGCCAGTCCAGCCCCCAGCAGTTGTCCAGAAGCTGGTGAGGGGTGTGAGGGAGAGGGGGCTGTCTCAGGAGGCGAGCCCCTGAGAATAGGGAGGGCTGCGCCCTCAGCTGTCATCCAGGTTCCATGTACACAGCCCCAGAGCGGTCCCCAACCTGCTGTGGTGGGGAGGGGGATCCAGGCCTCAAAAGTGTATGTGGGTTATGTGTGGGAGTCTAGGCCTTGGTGTGTGTGTCCAGGCCCTGGGGTATGTGTGGGGGGGATCCAGGCCTCAGGGTGTGTGTGGGGCGGTGGGGTCCAGGCCTCAGGGTCTACGTGGGGGGGGTCCAGGCTTCAGGGTGTGTGTGGGGTGATCCAGGCCTCAGGGTGTGTGGAGGGGGGGGATCCAGGCCTCAGGGTGTGTGTGGGGGGGATGTCCAGGCCTCACGGTGTGTCTGTGTGGGGGTCCAGGCTTCATGGTGTGTGTGTTGGGCGGGGAGTCCAGGCCTCAGGTATGTATGTGGGGGGTCCAGGCCTCCAGATGTGTGTAGGGGGGCGTTCAGGCCTCAGGGTGTGTGTGGGGGGATCCAGGCATCAGGGTGTGTGTGGCAGGGGGTCCAGGCCTCAGGGTATGTGTGTGGGGGGTCCAGGCCTCACGGTGTGTGTGTTGGGCAGGGAGTCCAGGCCTCAGGTGTGTGTCTGTGTGGGGGTGCAGGCCTCAGGGTGTGTGGCGGGGGGCAGTCCAGGCCT